TGTGCTGTATATTGTGGGGGGTCTGTGCTGTATATTGTGGGGGGTCTGTGCTGTATATTGTGGGGGGTCTGTGCTGTATATTGGGAGGAGGAGGTCTGTGCATTATATTGGGAGGAGGAGGTCTGTGCATTATCTTGCATTGTATTCTGTGCAGTATGTTGGAGGCTTTCAGCAGTATATTGTGGAAGTGGAAGATCTGTGCAGTATTTTGGGGAGGGGAGGGACTGTGCAGTATATTGAGGGGGACTGCAGTATATTGGGAAGTATTTTAGGAGGGGGTCTGTACAGTATATTGGGACTGTGCTGTATATTGTGGGGGTCTGTGCAGTATATCAGGGAATGGGACTATGCAGTATATTGAGAAGGGGGTCTGCTGTATATTGGGGGGTCTGTGCAGTATTTTAGGAGGGGGTCTGTGCAGTATATTGGGAAGGGTGTATGTGCAATATATTGGGCAGACTGTGCAGTGTTTTTTGAGGGGTCTGTGCTGTATCTTGGGGCAGTCTGTGCAGTATATTGGGTGGTCTGTGCAGTATATTGGAGGGTCTGTACTGTATTTTGGGGGTGGTCTGTGCTGTATCTTGGTGGTGGAGGGACTGTGCAATGTTTTGGGTGGACTTTTTAGTATATTGGAGCCCTCTCCAATATACTGTGCAGTTTCTTGAGGGGGTCTGTGCAGTATATTGGGAAGGGTGTCTGTGCAATATATTGGGAAGGGGGTCTGTGCAATATATTGGGAAGGGGGTCTGTGCAGTATATTGGGGGGTCTGTGCAATATATTGGGGTATGTGCAATATATTGGGAGGGGGTCTGTGCAGTATATTGGGAGGGGGTCTGTGCAGTATATTGGGAGGGGGTCTGTGCAGTATATTGTGGGGGTCTCTGCAGTATATGGGGAGGGGGTCTGTGTAGTATATTGGAGAGGAAGTCTGTGCAGAATATTGGGGAGGGTATATGTGCAATATATTGGGCAGACTATGCAGTGTATTATGAGGAGTCTGTGCTGTATCTTGGGGAGTACTGTGCAGTATATTGGGATGTGGTCTGTGCAGTATATTGGCGGGACTGTGCAGTGTTTAGGGAGGGGGTATGTGCAATATATTGGATGGACTGTGCAGTGTATTTTTGGAGTCTGTGCTTTATATTTGGGTGGTCTGTGCTGTATATTGGGGGTGGTCTGTGCTGTATATTGGGGGTGGTCTGTGCTGTATATTGGGGTGGTCTGTGCTGTATATTGGGGGTGGTCTGTGCTGTATATTGGGGGTGGTCTGTGCTGTATATTGGGGGGACTGTGCAGTGTATTGGGAGGAGGAGGTCTGTGCAGTATCTTGGCGGGGGAGGGACTGTGCCATGTATTGGGTGGACTTTTTAGTATTGTGACAGACCCATCTGTCTGGACTAAAAGTACTGTGTTCGTCTCTGTTTTGCCGGTTGCATGAATTCCCCCATTCATATGATTTGTTTAAGGGAATGTCTGTTTTTGTCGTCGAACGGAACTACCGAACGGACGGCCACCCAGAAGAGAAGTGTGCTGCTGGTTAACCTATTGATCCCAATTAGAACGTTGCGGTTAACCACAGACACTTCTCAATTAAAACCGAATGCCGGGTGGTCGTCGTTCGTATGTCGACCACGAGGCGGCGGCCATTTTGTCCATGCAAATGACCAGCGGTGTTCGACGATTATTTCATGGATCTGAAAACGGACACTTTTTCAGCCGAACACCGCTGAAGCCGTCGACCCCCCCTTCTCAATCGACAAAAGTATACGAATGCCAGCCGTTCGGGAGATTCAACCACACGAATGGACTTAACCCAGATAGCCGTCCCATGGAGTCAATCGCATACCGAAGAACTGAAAGAGACTTTGACTCCATGGCGATTGAACTGTGCGAATGGGATCTGAGCGCTATTCTCCAATAATGTGCACTCAGATCCAGGCTATTTGGAGATATGCAATACGAATGTAATACGTTCGGCAGTTATGAAGTTATGGATTTTCATGTGTTTTTGTGACTTGTGTTTAAAATGGCGATTGCCTCTGCTCAGGGAGATAATTGAGTTACTTCCCAATTATCCCACAAGCAGAGGGGAGGGAACTGTACTGCATGCTGGGAATATTGTGGGGATGTATGTCCAAAACGTCCCCATGTCCTTCTGTGATTTCAGTCTCCCATTTGGTCCCCTAGGGGAGTGTCCACCAAGTGGGAGACCTGCATAAATACCGGGCAGGTAGCCCACAGTAAATCAGTTCGTGTTTTACCCTCAAAGCGTAGCTTGGTCTCGTTATTGGGGGGATTTGGTTACCAGCGACTAGAGACGGCTTATTTGGATTATTTGCCGGTTGGGAGATATTGACGTTCGGTTACTATTCGCGATTCGTGGATTTGCAGCTCGTGAAGGGAATTAACCGTACAAGTACCGTTCGGGAGTTTGGAGTGTTCCCTGGCTGGCGGTTCGCATGGTTTTACTATACCCGCTACCCGACCACATTATTGCGAACGGGGGATACTCGCTAAACGGCGGTTTGTACATTTCATTACTGGAGGTACCGTAACAGATACTTTTTACTAACTTTTGAACCCCTGGTCTGATTCATGCCATTTTTTAATATGTTGTTCCCCTTAATGGATTGATTGTGAATATGTAATTTTATGTGAATGTGATGTATGGTTTTAGAGTTATGAAAGTTGGGTAAAAAGTATGTTTTAACTGTATGTGTAATTGAGTTTCCTCTCAGGATAAGGGGAGGGAATATGTGGGATGTAACTGTGATGTGATTGGTTGTTTTATACCTCCCTGTGGGCGGTCCTGTATTTGCAAGACTGTAATAAAAACCAGGCTGGGTGTGCCAGCACCTCAGACCACTGCTTGACCCTCAACACGGAGCCTTGTCTCGCTCTTGGGGGGATTCACTGTATGCTGTTAGAGACTGATTGCCAGGAGTGTAAGCTGATTGTCTGCTTTTCCTGTTCGCCTGCTAGCAGCTATTTGGGAGGTTCCAGTTCGGGAGTTGGAGTGCTATTTTGTATCCAGTTCGGGAGTTTGGTGTTCTGCAGTAGCTGTGCCTGTATCTCTGGAAAGGGGGCTGATCGCCTAAACGGTTTTTACCCCTTGTGTGCAAAAAGGTCCGTTACAGAACCAATGGACCCAGCACAGCTGACAGAACCCCGAGGAGGCAAGCTTTGACCGGGCGGTAAGAATCAGGCTGGCACATTATGGTCCCAACCCATCTGCAGAGGTCATCACCCAGGTCATGGCCGCTGTGGAGGCCAACCTGCTTCGCCAAAGCGGTGCTGCAGCAGCCACAGTCACAGCAAACCTGGGGGAAAGAAAGAAGGTGCCGTTTACTACGTTTAAAGCTTTCAGTGAGACAGACAGAGAGATTGATGGGTACCTTGCTGATTTTGAGCGGCAATGTGCCCTGCACAAGGTACCCCTGGAAGACTGGGTTACTATATTGTCCGGCAAGTTATCCGGCCGGGCCAGCGAGGCTTTTCGTGCAATTCCTGATGATGAGATTGGGGATTATGTGGCCGTCAGGGAAGTTTTACTCTCCCGGTATGCAGTTACACCTGAGGCACACCGGAGGAGGTTCCGAGACACTGTCAAGACCTCTGGGGACTCATACGTGGAATGGGCATGTAAGGTGCATCGCACAGCCGCCCACTGGATGGCGTGGTGCCAGGCTGTGTCCGGAGAAGAGGTGCTGCAGATGTTTCTTTTGGAACATTGTTTTGATAAATTGCCAGCAGGGGTCAGAGAGTGGGTAAGGGACCGTAAACCCTCCACTCTGCACGAAGCAGCTCGCTTGGCGGATGAGTATACCGACGCCCGCAAACTGGACAGTCTCATCAGCAAGGCTCCCGCCAGAGTGGAGTACAGGCCAGCAGCACCAACAGCAGCCAACCTATATCAGCCTCCCATGAATCACCCATCAGCACCTTCTCCATCTGCCCTGTACCAACAACCACCTCGGTTTAATTCACGAGAGTACACACAACCCATTCGGTGCTACCTGTGCAAGCAGCTAGGGCACAAGCGACCCGAGTGCCCGATGAACAGCGCCAACCAGAACCAGTCCTGGAGGAGACCAGCCGGCGGCAATCCACGACCTCCCCTCCCAGCCGCTCACTGTGTAGAGGAAGAGGAGTGCTGGGGCATCCTGCATGAGGCAGACCCCGTTCAGGCTGTCCACCGGAATAACAGACAGCACCACCGGCAGTGTGTGAAAGTAAACGGGAAGGAGGTCAGTGGTCTACGGGATACCAGGGCAACCATGACTTTGCTCCAGAAGCACCTGGTATCCGAAGCCCAACATACCGGGGACACGGTCGCAGTGCGAGTAGCCGGGGGTGCCGTGTTTCGTCTACCCGTTGCCCGGGTACATTTGGATTGGGGAGTGGGCGCTAGACATGTGAATGTGGGGGTCATGAAGGACTTACCAGCGGATGTCCTCCTTGGCAATGACTTGGCGCCCCTTGTTTCCGCCTTCGCTCCCATGGGTCCTGCTGAAGTGGATGCTGTCACGACCCGTGCCCAGACCCGTGCTGCTGAGACCGGCCCACCTGCTGCTGAGACCCAGGTAAGACTCTCTACCCCGACTTGTACCTTAGACCAGGCCCCTTTAGGCTGTGATACCCCAGAGATGTACGGGAAGGAAACCAGGGAAGACCCGACGCTAGCAAAGTACAGGGCCAGGGCCGATTCTGGGGGAGAAGGAGTAGATGGGGAACAATACGAGTGGGTGGGGGATAGACTGTACAGGATCCCGAAACCGTCCCAGAAGCCGAGTACCCCTCCGCAGAATCGACAGCTAGTGGTGCCCGCAAAATACCGGCAGGAGATTCTGCGGATTGGGCATGATGTGCCATTAGCCGGCCATCTAGGTTCCCGCCGCACAGCTCATAGGATCACACAAAATTTCTTCTGGCCCAATTTTAACTGAGATGTGCGGGTTTATTGCAGCACGTGTGACACTTGTCAACGGGTAGGTAAGCGGGGGGATCACCCAAAAGCTAGGCTTCAGTCGATGCCTATCATTGGAGAACCCTTTTCCCGCATAGCCGTTGACATTGTGGGTCCACTGGCCAGGGCTAGTCCATCCGGTAAGAAGTATATTCTCACCGTGGTGGACTATGCCACACGTTATCCACTGGCCAGGGCTAGTCCATCAGGTAAGAAGTATATTCTCACCGTGGTGGACTATGCCACACGTTATCCAGAGGCAGTAGCGCTGTCTAATATAGAGGCAGAGACGGTTGCTGATGCCCTGGTTAAAATCTTCACTAGGGTCGGGTTCCCTCAGGAGATTCTCTCCGATCAGGGAACCAAGTTCACCGCTGTGCTTACCCAGCAGCTGTGGAAGGTGTGCGGTATTAAACCCCTGCTTAGCTCACCTTATCACCCACAGACTAACGGTCTCTGCGAGCGATTTAATGGCACCCTCAAACAGATGTTGAGGACCTTTACTGACACTTGCAGAGATTGGGAGCGATTCCTGCTTCATCTGCTATTTGCATACAGAGAGGTGCCCCAGGAATCTACTGGGTTCTCCCCCTTTGAGTTACTCTATGGGAGAAGGGTTCGTGGACCCCTAGATCTCATTAGAGGACACTGGGAGGGGGAGACAGAGCAAGAAGGGACTCCCATAGTACCATATGTCCTGGAACTCCGGGACCGCATGGAGAAACTATCCCTGATGGTCAGGGAGAATCTCCAGGTGGCCCAGGGGAGACAGAAACGGTGGTACGATCGGGGTGCCCGACAGCGGGTCTTCCAGGTTGGGCAGAAGGTTCTGGTACTCAAGCCTGTGAAGACAAACAAGATGCAAGCATCTTGGCAGGGCCCGTATAAAGTGTTAGCTCAGGTATGTGATACTACCTACCTTATAGCCAGCTGTTCAGATGAAAGGATTCAGCGATCCTTCCATGTGAACATGCTGAAGGAGTATCAAGAACGACCAGAGGATGTTGCAGCAGTATGTGCCCCAGCTTCTGACGATCCCGAGAACTTACCGTTACCTGACTTGCTAGAGAGGGACCCCCAGACAGACCTTACTAGTCTTGTACAGCTAGGGGACCGGCTGAACCCGGCAGAGAAGGTACAGGCGAGACAGTTACTGTGGGAGAAGCAGGCGATGTTCTCCCAAGAACCCGGGTACACTACCCTAGCTGTACACAAGGTCGAGACACCCGGATAAAACCCCCTACAACAACCCCCATACCGTATTCCTGAAGCAGTCCGAGAAGGAATGCGGAAGGAAATACAGGAGATGACCAGGCTAGGGGTTATCGAACATTCGGACAGCCCTTGGGCCTCGCCTGTAGTTCTGGTGCCTAAGAAAGATGGGACCACCAGGTTCTGCGTGGACTACAGGCGGCTCAACGAACGGACCACCACTGACACCTACCCTATGCCCCGGGTAGACGAGTTATTAGACCGCATTGCCAGGGGGCGCTACCTGACCACCATTGATCTGTGTAAAGGTTATTGGAAGATCCCCCTGGCCGAGGATGCTATCCCTAAGTCGGCATTCTTCACCCCATTTGGCCTGTACCAGTTTAAGGTCATGCCATTTGGGATGAAGAATGCTCCGGCTACCTTCCAGCGTATGGTGGATAGGCTCCTCGATGGCTTTCAGGATTTTGCATGTGCATACCTGGATGACATTGCGGTCTACAGTGAGACCTGGGAAGACCATCTAGTACACGTAGGGGTGGTGCTGGACAAGATTCGGGCCGCAGGCCTGACCTTGAAGCCAGACAAGTGCCATCTAGGCATGGCAGAGGTACAGTACTTGGGTCACAGAGTAGGCTGTGGGAGCCAGAGACCAGAGCCAGCCAAGGTAGAGGCTGTGGCTAACTGGCCCACACCTATCACTAAGACCCAAGTGCTGGCCTTCCTGGGGACGGCAGGGTATTACTGACGTTTTGTCCTTGACTACAGTACGGTTGCTAAGCCCTTGACTGACCTGACTATGAAGAATTTGCCTAAGCAGGTCCTGTGGTCTCCAGCTTGTGAAGCCGCGTTTCAAGCACTTAAGCAGGCTCTTGTTAATGCTCCTGTCCTGGCTGCCCCAGTCCCTAACAAACTTTTTCTTGTTCATACAGATGCTTCCATGTATGGACTGGGGGCTGTGCTAAGCCAGGTCGGGGAAGATGGAGGAGAGCACCCTGTCGCATACTTAAGCAGAAAGTTACTACCCCGGGAAGTAAGTTATGCGGCAGTGGAGAAAGAGTGTTTAGCCCTGGTCTGGGCACTGAAGAAATTGAGCCCTTATTTATACGGACAAGAATTTTCCCTTATTACGGACCATAACCCCCTTGTCTGGCTTAACCGGGTCTCAGGAGACAATGGCAGACTGCTGAGGTGGAGTTTGGCACTACAGCCTTACAACTTCACCATCAGCTACCGACCCGGTAAGCAGAATGGGAACGCGGATGGGTTGTCCCGGCAAACAGACGTCCCTACTTCTTCCCAGTCCGGTCATCCCCAAGTTGACCCGCCAAAGGGTCAAGCCGGGTCTGCCGGAGTGTTCCACAAGGGGGAGCCGTGTGACAGACCCATCTGTCTGGATTACAAATGCTTTGTTCGCCTGTTTTGCCGGTTACATGAATTTCCCCATTCGTATGCTTTATTCAAGGGAATGTCGGTTTTGTCGAACGGAACTACCGAACGGACGGCCACCCAGAAGAGAAGTGTGCTGCTGGTTAACCTATTGATCCCAATTAGAACGTTGCGGTTAACCACAGACACTTCTCAATTAAAACCGAATGCCGGGTGGTCGTCGTTCGTATGTCGACCACGAGGCGGCGGCCATTTTGTCCATGCGAAAGACCAGCGGTGTTCGACGATTATTTCATGCATCTGAAAACGGACACTTTTTCAGCCGAACACCGCTGAAGCCGTCGACCTCCCCTTCTCAATCGACAAAAGCATACGAATGCCAGCCGTTCGGGAGATTCAACCACATGAATGGACCTAACCCAGATAGCCGTCCCATGGAGTCAATCGCATACCGAAGAACTGAAAGAGACTTTGACTCCATGGCGATTGAACTATGCGAATGGGATCTGAGCGCTATTCTCCAATAATGTGCACTCAGTTCCAGGCTATCTAGGGATATGCAATACGAATGTAATATGTTCGGCAGTTATGAAGTTATGGATTTTCATGTGTTTTTATGACTTGTGTTTAAAATGGCGATTGCCTCTGCTCGGGGAGATAGTTGAGTTACTTCCCAATTATCCCCCGAGCAGAGGGGAGGGAACTGTACTGCATGCTGGGAATATTGTGGGGATGTATGTCCAAAATGTCCCCATGTCCTTCTGTAATTTCAGTCTCCCATTTGGTCCTCTAGGGGAGTGTCCACCAAGTGGGAGACCTGCATAAATACCGGGCAGGTAGCCCACAGTAAATGAGTTCGTGTTTTACCCTCAAAGCGTAGCTTGGTCTCGTTATTGGGGGGATTTGGTTACCAGCGACTAGCGACTACTTATTTGGATTATTTTCCGCTTGGGAGTTATTGACGTTCGGGAGTTATTGCCGTTCGTGGATTTGCAGCTCGAGAAGGGAATTAGCCGTACAGGTACCGTTCGGGAGTTTGGAGTGTTCCCTGGCTGGCGGTTCGCATGGTTTTATTATACCCGCTACCCGACCACATTATTGCGAACGGGGAATACTCGCTAAACGGCGGTTTGTACATTTTACTACTGGAGGTACCGTAACAATAACTTTTACACTGTTCGGTTTATTTAAACGAATGGACGTTCAGTAGATAGTTGGGGTCTGAGCGCACATTTCGTGAGAATACCCAGCTAAAACAACTGAACGCCGCACGAAAAACATATTCATCAAAACATACATTCAAAAGACCGATTGGCATACGGGGAGTAAAATACCGAAAAGCCCGAAACTCCCGAACGGCCTGGAAGTCCAGCGGTGCTCGCGCCGGCGAGTAGCCGTTTTCAGTACCACGCGCTCAACGACCAAACACCGCTGGAGGAACAAAGGATCCAAGATGGCCAACTGCCGCATGGTCGGTAGTCAAACGACGGCCACCTAGGAGAGCCTCTAATTACCAATTGCAACATTGTTGCAATCGGTTAACAAGCGCCACATGTCTCTTAGTGTGTGGGCTATTGCAGGATAGTTTATTCGGTTCACGAACAGTCCGCAAAGGCGCTGTTCATGAAACGAAATGAAATACAGCTATCTGCTTTCGGCAGATAGCCCTTACAGGCAATGCAATCATACGGTTTACAGTACATTACAACCAGGTACATATAACGTTATAAGAACTATACAGGCAACCCTTAAAGCCATAGTCTCTCTGTATTGTCCAAGTGGCTAGGTTTGCCACAATGCTCCCCCAGAACCAAGCCGGCATACACAGTCTGATCCCAACGGATCGGCTTGGGGATGTCCGGAGGAGGTCTCACAGATCACTTCTCAAGGTCAGTTTGTCTAGATAACTGTTTTGTTTCCCAGGGCGATAATGGATTGTAAAGTCAAAAGGCTGCAGCCAACAAGGACAGGGACAAGACTCCATTATGCACATGGTGACACAAAGACAGTAAAACACTTTAAAATACATAAAGTCACATTTGTTACATAACACACAGACATTTAACATATCCCCAGATAGCTCAGGTCTGAGCGCACATTATTAAGTGAATGGCGCTCAGACCACACGAATACAGTTTAATCGCCATGGAGCCAAAGTCTTTACAGTCAGTTTTATACGAATGGGCTCCATGGGATTCCTATCTGGGGTATAACACATTCAAACAAATCTACCGAACCCCAGGCAGAAAAGCACGAATGAAGCTTTTCTGCAGGTAAAAAAGATGTCTTTTAACAGGGGGCCATAGTCCAAAGGTAGCAGGCGAGCAACCAGGCTTCTCCAGTGCAATGTGGCGAGATTGGTCTCGTCACATTGTGCTTCATAGGCTTTTGCCCCACCTGGAAGACGCGCTGTCGGGCACCCCGATCATACCATCTCTTCTGTCTACCCTGGGCCGCTTGGAGGTTCTCTCTGACCACAGAGACAGCTGCTCCATGCGATCCTCAGTTGTTTTAAAGGTGAAAAAGGTTAAGTGGCGGCACACGCCAAGGGCCAGGTGGTCTTTTGTTCGTATGCAAGAATACATAGTCCTGACTGTTTGTGTAATGCGTTTTATACATTATAACCACCGAAACAGAGTATACGGTAAAATAAACAGGATAGCCTTAGGGTGGTCCCCCCTCTTCCCTACCCGTTGACAGGTGTCGCACGTGCTACAATATTGTCGCACAGCCTGGTTGAAGTTGGGGCAAAAGAAATTCTGAGTGATCCAATAGGCTGTGCGGCGGGACCCTAGATGCCCCACTAGCGGCACATCATGCCCAATTCGCAGAATCGCCTGCCGGTACTTCACGGGCACTGCCACCTGTCATCTCTGTGAAGGGGCTTTACTCCTTGGGGATGGTTTAGGGATCCTATTTAGTCTATCCCCCACCCACTCAAAGCATTCCCCATCTATCCCTTCCTCCTGGGTGTCTGGGTCTCCCTCCTAAATGCCCAGTCTAGGGGAACCTGGTCTAGCATACAAGTCGGGGGAGACAATCTTACCTGGGTCTCAGCAGCAGGTGGGCCGGTTTCAGCAGCACGAGTCTGGGCACGGCTGGTCACAGGATTGGCTTCCGCAGGAGCCATCGGGTCGTAGGCAGGAACCAGTGGGGCCAAATCATTTCCCAGTAGTACGTCGGCTGGCAGGTCTTTTCGTCACCCCCACGTTAACATGTCCCGAACCAACTCCCAAATCCCAGTGAACCCGGGCCACAGGTAGCTGAAATACAGTGCCTCCAGCTACCTGTACAGCAACAGTGTCCCCGGTGTGTTGACTTTCTGAGATCAGATTTTTCTGCAACAAAGTCATAGTGGCACCAGTATCCCTTAATACGCTGACAACTTTCCCGTTGACCTTGACCATCTGTCTGTGCAGACAGGTTAGCAGCCTGTACAGGATCTGCCTCATGCAGCACACCCCAACATTCCTCTTCTTCCACACAGTGAGCAGCTGGCGTTACTGTGCAGGGGTTGCCCTCTGCTGGCCTCCTCCAAGACTGGGACTGCCTGGATGGGTTCAATGGGCAATCTTGCTTCCGATGCCCCACCTGGTTACAGCCAAAACACCTCAGGGGTGGAGAGTAGCTCCGGGCGTTGAACCTGGGTGACTGGGAATGAAGGGCAGCCGGAGGTGGTGCTGCAGCCCGGTATGCCTGAGGTGGTGGTGCAGTCGCAGAGGTGAATGTCATCGGCTGATGATCCAGGCGGGTTGTTGCTTTAGCGGTCTGGTTGTCTAGCTTGCGAGCATCGGCGTACTCGTCCGCCAAGCGAAATGCTTCTGCCATGGTAAGGGGTTTTCTATCACATACCCATTCTCTGGCCCCTGTGGGCATTTTCTCATAAAAGTGCTCCAACAGGAATAGCTGCAATACTTCCTCTCCAGACACCGCCTGGCATCCAATTAGCCAGTGAGCCGCCTTGCCATGTACTCGGCAAGCCCACTTGGTGTAAGAATTGCCTGCTTGTTTGTTGGCTTCCAGGAACCTCCTGCGATACGCCTCCGGTGTGACTGCGTATCTGGCTAGTAGGGCAACCCGTAATTTGTAAGGTTGTCGTCTGGTATGGCCCGAAATGTTTCACTGGCCCGACCCGATAACTTCCCAGACAAGATAGCGACCCATTCATCTGTGGGTACCCGGTGCAGGGCACACTGCCTTTCAAAATCCGCCAGGTACCCATCTATCTCCCACTCTGTTTCAATTAAATTTTTAAAAGCAGCAAAAGGTATCTTTTTCTTTTCTGGTGCAGTGGGTATTTCAGCTGCTGCAGTACCTCTTTGCTGAAGGTGTCGCTGGTTTGTCTCCACAGCTTTGACCCATTCAATGATATCTGCTGAGGGGTTGGGGCCAAAATGTGCCAGCCTTATGCGGACCGCCCGGTCAAATCTTGCCTCCTCGGGTACCCTGTCTGTAGTGCTGAGCCTCTTACTGTTATCCGTTTCCAGCAGTTCTGCAATAATGTCCCTTTAGCTGACCTCCTGAGCTGTAAGGAACATCCCGCTGCTTGCCACCAATTGTTACAGCTCCCCCGGTAGGAGAGGGGTTACTGCCATATAGGAAGTTTCCTTCCCGAATACAGAGGTAGCCATTGAGCGCTCCAAACTGCCGAACAGCAATCACACGAACCAGTTAGTCTCCCAAACAGCCGAACAAGCGTAATCCATACGAATAATCCCCCCAATGACGAGACAAAGCTCCATATTGAGGGTCAGCAGGAATCTGGTTTATTGAGGGCTACCTGCCCGGTATTTATGCAGGTCTCCCACCTGGTGGACACTCCCCTAGGGGACTAAATGGTAGATTGTGACAAGGACATTACACTGACCAATCAGAGTGTTACACCATGCCACTTTAATTACCCAAGACCCTCTGTTCTGCCCGGGAGATAATTTTGAAGTAATTCAATTATCTCCCTGGACAAAGACCAAACGCCATCTTAAATGACACTATAACATAGGTATTCAATAAACAAGATCCAGCGCACTCTCCTATCTACTAAATAGCAACTTTTTTCTAAAAAAAAACAAAAACATTTTTCTAAAAAAATTTTTTTTTAAACCCCTAATCTAGGCAAAAAATAATGGGAATTTAGTTACATTATATGATTATACATTGCATTACCCTGCCACAATGTCAATGTTCCCCATTTTTGGCTACTCTTATGTGAATAACTCACTTACTTGGGGAAAAAATTCCATCTAAGGCTTTCTGCAGTACAAGGCTAAATAGAAACCTGAGATGAGGCACCTGTAACAGGGAGGGGTGCAAAACCAAGGAGTTGGCTAGACTCCCAAATGAAACATGGGGGGTGGTTGAACTCACCTGAACATGCTTAAATGGGGTGCTGCTGGGGGCCATATTATACAATAAACAAAATCCAGCGTACTCTCCTATATACTAAACAGCAACTTCAATGTTGACAGATTTTATTCGTTTTTTTAAAAGTTTTGTGTAAAGGTTTTGTTTTTTTAGTTACATTATATGATCATACATTGCAGGATTAGGCAATGTATAATCATATAATGTAACTAAATCCCCATTGTTTTTTGCCTAGATTAGGTGTTTTAAAAAAAAAAAACCTTTAGAAAAAACTTTTAAAAAAGCTAATAAAATCTGTCAACATTGAAGTTGCTGTTTAGTAGATAGGAGAGTGTGCAGGAGGTGGAAAGGGGGGGGGGAAACCATCCCCAAGCAAAACTGCGCCCTCTACCCATCATAGAGGAACCTTTTTTTCCGGGTGGCCATAGATTTAGTCGTGCCCCTAAGCAAACCCAGTCCATCTGGTAAGAAATACATTCTTACTGTTGGACTATGCTACCCGCTACCCAGAAGCAATAGCCCTGTCAAATATACATGCAGAGACAGTGGCAGAAGAGCTGGTTCAGGTGTTCACTAGGGTTGGATTCCCTAGGGAGATAATGTCTGATCAGGGAACTCAATTCAGAGCAGTGAGGTAAAGCCCATACTAAGTTCGCCCTATCACCCCCAGCCGAACGGCCTCTGTGATCATTTTAATGGCACCCTGAAACAAATGCTGATCACGTTCACAGAGACCTGTCGGAATTGGGAAAAGTTCCTCCCCCACCTGCTCTTTGCATATCGGAAAGTACCTCAGGAGTCCACCGGATTCTCCCCATGTGACAGACCCATCTGCCTGGACTAAAAGTACTGTGTTCGTCTGTTTTGCCAGTTGCATGAATTTCCCCATTCGTATGCTTGTTTAAGGGAATGTCGGTTTTTGTCGAACGAAACTACCGAACGGACGGCCACCCAGAAGAGAAGTGTGCTGCTGGTTAACCTATTGATCCCAATTAGAATGTTGCGGTTAACCACAGACAC